AAGGATTCCTAACTTTATTGACAAGCTAAGAGCTGTTACCTACATCAGCTCATTTGAAAGCATTTTTATTGTTATGAGACATACAAGTTCGGAACAGGATGAAGTTGGAGCCATCTGTGGGCCAGCATTTTCATTTTTAACAAGGAATCATTGGAATTTGTTTTGGTTTCTTTCCCTGAGGAGAAATATGAGAATTAAGTCGTCCTTAATAGGGAATCATTTGTTGTGTTGATTCCTCAATGAAGGTTCCTTGATGCTGGTGAGGGGTCTTGATTTAAGGAACTGGAGTCCTCAATGACGGTTCCTTGATGGTGAGGGGCTCTTGATCTAGGAAACGGAGTCCTCAATGAAGGTTCCTTGATGCTGGTGAGGGGTTCTTGATCTAGGAATTGGAGTCCTCAATGAAGGTTCCTTGATGGTGGTGAGGGGGTCTTGATTTAAGGAACTGGAGTCCTCAATGAAGGTTCCTTGATGGTGATGGGCTCTTGATCGAGGAACCGGAGTCCTCAATGAAGGTTCCTTGATGGTGGTGAGGGGGTCTTGATTTAAGGAACTGGAGTCCTCAATGAAGGTTCCTTGATGGTGATGGGCTCTTGATCTAGGAACCGGAGTCCTCAATGAAGGTTCCTTGATGGTGAGGGGCTCTTGATCTAGGAACCAGAGTCCTCAATGAAGGTTCCTTGATGGTGATGGGTTCTTGATCTAGGAACCAGAGTCCTCAATGAAGGTTCCTTGATGGTGAGGGGCTCTTGATCTAGGAACCAGAGTCCTCAATGAAGGTTCCTTGATGGTGATGGGTTCTTGATCTAGGAACCAGAGTCCTCAATTAAGGTTCCTTGATGGTGAGGGGCTCTTGATCTAGGAACCAGAGTCCTCAATGAAGGTTCCTTGATGATGATGGGCTCTTGATCTAGGAACTGGAGTCGTCAATGAAGGTTCCTTGATGGTGAGGGGCTCTTGATCTAGGAACCAGAGTCCTCAATGAAGGTTCCTTAATGGTGAGGGGCTTTTGATCTAGGAACCGGAGTCCTCAATGAAGGTTCCTTGATGGTGATGGGTTCTTGATCTAGGAACCAGAGTCCTCAATAAAGGTTCCTTGATGCTAGTGAGGGACTTGATCTAGGAACTGGAGTCCTCAATGAAGGTTACTTGATGGTGAGGGGCTCTTGATCTAAGAACCAGTCCTCAATAAAGGTTCCTTGATGCTAGTGAGGGACTTGATCTAGGAACTGGAGTCCTCAATGAAGGTTCCTTGATGCTAGTGAGGGGTTCTTGATCTAGGAACTGGAGCCATCAACGAAGGTTCCCTGATACTGGCAAGGGGCCCTTGAACTAAAGAATAATACCTGCTCTCCAATTCCTTGGATCAAGCCAAAATACAGAAACAATTTTAAAAATACCATCTCTCGAGATTTTAGTCAAAGAATTAATACACAAAAAAATTTGCATAAACAATAATGGTTATTAAAATTTTGTAAAAAGTGAGCTGGAATTTTTACTAATTTGCATTACATATAATGATAAGTGAATACAATGTAGTGTATTATAGATCATTAAAATATCGCACCATTAAAGCCTACTGTGGACAGCACTTTTCAAGGGGTAACTGGCCCTTCCAGTCCTTTTCTCCCCTCGCCTCTGATCCCCCCACTCCACCTAGCTGCTTATAGCCCCAGTACTATTTTCTGCCCCGCAGCGCTGTATGACCCTTGTCGGTTTAGCGCTTTCTTTAATTATAATAATAATCAAGGGGCAATTAACGCCTAAATACAAGAACGCGGCTCACAAGACTGCCGTTCCTACGAGCCCCCCTGGAGCGAGGAAGTTGGCAGACCAGAGGCCTAGCTTCTACCTACGAGCCCCCCTGGAATGGAGAAGATGGCAGACCAGAGGCCTAGCTTCTACCTACGAGCCCCCTGGGATGGAGAAGATGGCAGACCAGAGGCCTAGCTTCTACCTATGAGCCCCCCAGGGGTGGGGAAGATGGCAGACCAGAGGCCTAGCTTCTACCTACAAGCCCCCCTGGGATGGGGAAGATGGCAGACCAGAGGCCTAGCTCTTCCCTACGAGCCCCCCTCGGGTGGGGAAGATGGCAGACCAGAGGCCTAGCTTCTACCTACTAGCCCTGTGAGGGCGGGGAATGTGGTTAGGCCTGGGGACAGCTGGTTCCAGAAGATGAGGAGGTACTTGTACCTCCTCCCATGGCAGACATAGGTCCCAGACACTCCCAAGACAGGGAGCCAAGACCGGGTCACCATTTGGAAAAGACCCGGGCTGGAAGAATACCGGAGAATCAAGAAGAAGGATGACGAGCTTGATGGATTGATCATACAGACTCCAGGCTTGGAGGGACTGCTTACCCCACACTCCTCATCTTACACCCCTCTTTGCATTGGACTGAAGAATCCACTGGCTGGTGAAATGTTACGACATTAAAGATAGCCATGTGTTGCACAAGTGTCTTAACTCATCATTCTGTCGGATCTCTGAGGCATTTTATCTACACAATGACGTAGGAGCACTGCAGCAGGCTTACTGGCCCATGCAAGGCAGGTCCAACTCACACTCATGTACTCGTCTAATCTCTTCCCAATATCCTTTCCAAATCTTGGTAAGATATTTCCAATACGTAATTTATCCCTTCTATCTGTCTTCCACAGGTACACCTCCATCAGTCATAGGTACATGTCAATCATAGGTACATGCCAATCATAGGTACATGTCAATCACAGGTACATGTCAATCATAAGTACATGTCAATCATAGGTACATGTCAATCACAGGTACATGGCAATCATAGGTACATGTCAATCATAGGTACATGTCAATCATAGGTACATGTCAATCATAGGTACATGTTAATAATAGGTACATGTTAATCATAGGTACATGTCAATCATAGGTATACTTCAATCATAGGTACATGTCAATCATAGGTACACTTCAATCATAGGTACATGTCAATCACAAGTACATGTCAATCACAGGTATATGTCAATCATAGGTACATGTCAATCATGGGTACATGTCAATCACAGGTACATGTCAATCATAGGTACATGTCAATCATAGGTACATGTCAATCATAGGTACATGTCAATCATAGGTACATGTCAATCATAGGTACATGTCAATCATAGGTGCATGTCAATCATAGGTACATGTCAATCATAGGTACATGTCAATCATAGGTACATGTCAATCATAGGTACATGTCAATCATAGGTACATGTCAATCATAGGTACATGTCAATCATAGGTACATGTCAATCATAGGTACATGTCAATCATAGGTACATGTCAATCATAGGTACATGTCAATCATAGGTACATGTCAATCATAGGTACATGTCAATCATAGGTACACTTGAATCATATCTCCTAATTCTATACTTTAGCACTTTCTTGTCTCATGGTCAAAGGAATTTGACGTACTGTCCCCATTTCTTGAATCAAACTTGATTACGTTCCCATCTCCGGATCCAGGTAAGTCACAACTTAACCTAAGTTAACCTAACCTAATTTTACCCAACCTAACCTAATGTGACCTTTTTTCCTGTGACTTTTCCTGGTCACCCCATCTCCGTATGAGCCTTAAGAGTGTAGCTCTTCCCCATAAATATATAATGGTTGTAACTATGACCTTAAAGGGGTGGACTGGTAAGCCAGCAGAAGGCCTCGGTCAGACGACCAAAGCCTCCAACTGTGGGTCATCATATACTACTAAGATCCGCATCAGGAAACACTTGTCTCACTTCCTGGCAAACCTTATCAACCAACCTATGATTATAAATCTGTGATAACCAGGAAAAACTTACGCCACTTTCTCTGCCTCCCAGAAATCAGGAGTGTCGGACACCCACGGGTTTATAGGATCTGTTGGAGTGATAAAAGGGTCGTATTCCTGATATTGTTCCCAGTAACTGATGAATCTGGAAGTAATTGAAAGTTATTACACATTAACATATAAAATGTGACCTCCCAATCCTCCTTTTTATGTATAATATGCCTCTAAGTGGCTAGTTTCCTCTTTTAGACTCACTGTTGAGATCCAGAGGGGAAACTGTGTACCTCAGTGTATATACACTGATGTGTATATTTCTCAGTGTATATACACTGGTAGTTTACATTAATCAGTATTTTAGGTATTAAAGTATTCTTGACTGGTGGTGTACAGGTGACCTGCAACCTTAATGACCCTGGTGTAGTAGATAGACTTTAAACCCCATTAACTAACCTTAATGACCCTCGTGCAGTAGATAGACTTTAAACCCCATTAACCAACCTTAATGACCCTGGTGTAATAGATAGACTTTAAACCCCATTAACCAACCTTAATGACCCTGGTGTAGTAGATAGACTTTAAACCCCATTAACCAACCTTAATGACCCTGGTGTAGTAGATAGACTTTAAACCCCATTAACCAACCTTAATGACTCTGGTGTAGTAGATAGACTTTAAACCCCATTAACCAACCTTAATGACCCTGGTGTAGTAGATAGACTTTAAACCCCATTAACCAACCTTAATGACCCTCGTGTAGTAGATAGACTTTAAACCCCATTAACCAACCTTAATGACCCTGGTGTAGTAGATAGACTTTAAACCCCATTAACCAACCTTAATGACCCTCGTGTAATAGATAGACTTTAAACCCCATTAACCAACCTTAATGACCCTGGTGTAGTAGATAGACTTTAAACCCCATTAACCAACCTTAATGACCCTGGTGTAGTAGATAGACTTTAAACCCCATTAACCAACCTTAATGACCCTGGTGTAGTAGATAGACTTTAAACCCCATTAACCAACCTTAATGACCCTGGTTTAGTAGATAGACTTTAAACCCCATTAACCAACCTTAATGACCCTCGTGTAATAGATAGACTTTAAACCCCATTAACCAACCTTAATGACCCTGGTGTAGTAGATAGACTTTAAACCCCATTAACCAACCTTAAAGACCCTGGTGTAGTAGATAGACTTTAAACCCCATTAACCAACCTTAATGACCCTGGTGTAGTAGATAGACTTTAAACCCCATTAACCAACCTTAATGACCCTCGTGTAATAGATAGACTTTAAACCCCATTAACCAACCTTAATGACCCTGGTGTAGTAGATAGACTTTAAACCCCATTAACCAACCTTAATGACCCTCGTGTAATAGATAGACTTTAAACCCCATTAACCAACCTTAATGACCCTGGTGTAGTAGATAGACTTTAAACCCCATTAACCAACCTTAATGACCCTGGTGTAGTAGATAGACTTTAAACCCATTAACCAACCTTAATGACCCTGGTGTAGTAGATAGACTTTAAACCCCATTAACCAACCTTAATGACCCTCGTGTAATAGATAGACTTTAAACCCCATTAACCAACCTTAATGACCCTGGTGTAGTAGATAGACTTTAAACCCCATTAACCAACCTTAATGACCCTGGTGTAGTAGACAGACTTTAAACCCCATTAACCAACCTTAATGACCCTGGTGTAGTAGATAGACTTTAAACCCATTAACCAACCTTAATGACCCTGGTGTAGTAGATAGACTTTAAACCCCATTAACCAACCTTAATGACCCTGGTGTAGTAGATAGACTTTAAACCCCATTAACCAACCTTAATGACCCTCGTGTAATAGATAGACTTTAAACCCCATTAACCAACCTTAATGACCCTGGTGTAGTAGATAGACTTTAAACCCCATTAACCAACCTTAATGACCCTGGTGTAGTAGATAGACTTTAAACCCCATTAACCAACCTTAATGACCCTGGTGTAGTAGATAGACTTTAAACCCCATTAACCAACCTTAATGACCCTGGTGTAGTAGATAGACTTTAAACCCCATTAACCAACCTTAATGACCCTGGTGTAGTAGATAGACTTTAACCCCCATTAACCAACCTTAATGACCCTGGTGTAGTAGATAGACTTTAAACCCCATTAACCAACCTTAATGACCCTCGTGTAATAGATAGACTTTAAACCCCATTAACCAACCTTAATGACCCTGGTGTAGTAGATAGACTTTAAACCCCATTAACCAACCTTAATGACCCTCGTGTAATAGATAGACTTTAAACCCCATTAACCAACCTTAATGACCCTGGTGTAGTAGATAGACTTTAAACCCCATTAACCAACCTTAATGACCCTCGTGTAGTAGACTTTAACCCCCATTATCCAATCAATTGACCGGATTTCAAGGGAGATTCTATTTTTAGTTATCCCACTTAATTACAGGGTGAGTACATAGTTCTCCCTCTGTTAATTACAGGGTGAGTACATAGTTCTCCCTCTGTTAATTACAGGGTGAGTACATAGTTCTTCCTCTGTTAATTACAGGGTGAGTACATAGTTCTTCCTCTGTTAATTACAGGGTGAGTACAAAGTTCTCCCTCTGTTAATTACAGGGAGAGTACATAGTTCTCCCTCTGTTAATTACAGGGTGAGTACATAGTTCTCCCTCTGTTAATTACAGGATGAGTACATAGTTCTTCCTCTGTTAATTACAGGGTGAGTACATAGTTCTCCCTCTGTTAATTACAGGGTGAGTACATAGTTCTCCCTCTGTTAATTACAGGATGAGTACATAGTTCTTCCTCTGTTAATTACAGGGTGAGTACATAGTTCTCCCTCTGTTAATTACAGGGTGAGTACATAGTTCTCCCTCTGTTAATTACAGGTTGAGTACATAGTTCTCCTTCTGTTAATTACAGGGCGAGTACATAGTTCTCCTTCTGTTAATTACAGGGTGAGTACATAGTTCTTCCTCTGTTAATTACAGGGCGAGTACATAGTTCTCCTTCTGTTAATTACAAGGTGAGTACATAGTTCTCCCTCTGTTAATTACAGGGTGAGTACATAGTTCTCCCTCTGTTAATTACAGGTTGAGTACATAGTTCTCCTTCTGTTAATTACAGGTTGAGTACACGTCAGTACCATCTGTACTCCTGAGTCTGTACCTTCAGTGTTTTCCTATCACCCTAAAATATATATTTTTTTCTAACAATAATTTACAAATTTAAAATAAATATTTCTATGATATAGACACTATTATTATTATTATTAAAGATTAGCCGGTATTCTCCCGGCCCGGGCCTTTTCCAAGTGGTGGCCCGGCCTTGGCTCCCTCTTTAGGGAGTGTCTGAGACCTAAGTCTCCCATGGGAGGAGGCACAAGTACCTCCTCATCTTTGGGACCAACTGTCCCCAGGCCTAGCCACAAGCTAGGCCTCTCTGGTCTGCCATCCCCGCCACAAGGGGGCTAATGGGAATGACAGTCTTATGAGCTAAAGGCTCGGGCTCGGGCACCTACCCTACCCTAGAAGGGCTGGGCATGGTATCGATGATATAGACACTAATTTTTTTTTGATAAATGTAAATTTTAGCAGAAATAAAAATGTAAATTCAACTCTGCTTTTTTTTACCTTTGCTCAAAAATTTATTTTTTCTAGACAACAATTTATAAATTTAAAATAAAATTGAAATTTGTATATTATAAACACTAATTTTCCCGATAAACTTGAATTATAACATAAATAAATGTAGCTTCAACTTTCCTGTTTTTAAATCTGCTCTTTTTTTTTTTTTTTTTTTTTTTTTTTTTTTTTATCAACACCATGCCTAACCCTTCTAGGGTAGGGTAGGTGCCTGAGCCCGAGCCTTTAGCTCATAAGACTGTCATTCCCATTAGCCCCCTTGGGGCGGGGATGGCAGACCAGAGAGGCCTAGCTTGTGGCTAGGCCTGGGGACAGTTGGTCCCAAAGATGAGGAGGTACTTGTGCCTCCTCCCATGGGAGACTTAGGTCTCAGACACTCCCTAAAGAGGGAGCCAAGGCCGGGCCACCACTTGGAAAAGGCCCGGGCCGGGAGAATACCGGCGAATCTTTAATAATAAAAAAAAATAAAATGTCCTTTTTTCCTAGCAAATCTTACCAACAATTTATAAATTTAAAACAAAACCAAAATTCGTATATTGTAGGCACTAATTTTTCCGATAAATCAAAATTTTAGCATAACTAAACTGTAGTTTCAACTCACGACTCGGCTGCTTTTGAGACCTTGAAGTTACAGCGGTCGACTCTTGTCTTCAGGACGTCTATGTCATGTTTCAGTGATTCAACAGGACTTGTAAGATCAGCTTCAGATACTGAGGGTGATATTCTCCCTCCAGCCACACCCAGGGCCAGATGTTTAATGGATTTGATGGGTTTATTCATGCGGCAGGCTTTCTTGATGTCGATTTCCGTTGTATTCACACAGCCAGGCTTGTCATTGGAAAATAATGGCCTATTATGTTATAATTTGGCTTTAAGGATAATATAATCGTTAAAATATTCTTGAATTATAATTATAGATGCTAAAATCAGTGCGGGTTACATAAATCTCTGTATATACACAGAAAGATGCATATCTATCAGTGAGATATATATATATATATATATATATACACCCCCGGTTTACGATATTATTTCATTCCAGAAGTATGTTCAGGTGCCAGTACTGAACGAATTTGTTCCCATAAGGAATATTATGAATTAGATTAGTCCATTTCAGACCCCCAAACATACACGTACAAACGCACTTACATAAATACACTTACATAATTGGTCGCATTGGGAGGTGATCGTAAAGCGGGGGTCCACATATACACACAAAACACATACATTACAAAATACTAACCATGGGTCTGTGAACGTCCCAAAACGCACGTTCTTGTGAGTCAAGAACTTTACGTTCCAGCTTGTCCCGCTTTTTGTCCACTTTACTCTGTGCTTCCGCCTGTAGGGATACGAAATTCATGATAACTATTGAAAATCATTCTGTCTAGTTCCAAGTGCTGCAGCACAAGCTTTAATTAGGACTACGCTTATGTATAGAGCTGTATCAGGTCATACCAACCTGTCTACACAGTGAAACATGACCTGGCAAAGCTGTACAGTGAAAGTCTGCTTGATAAAGGTCACAGCAAAACATTATTTGATAAAGCTCTTCACAGCAGTAACAGCCTGGTTGATCACACCCTGATCCACCATGAAGCCTGGTCTCAGACCGGGCCGCGGGGGCGTTGACCCCCAAAACCCTCTCCAGGTATAGGGAAGCAAGACTTGATAAAGCTCCAAACAGAGCAAAACATTCAATAAAGCCCTTTACAACATAAAATGTCTCAATAAAAGCCTCTGCAACTTGTATTTCCTTTATTCTTGCCAACATTTCGACACGAAAGTGATACTTGTGTGTCTATACTGCTGCCGTGTCACGAAAACCAGTACACTAATATTTACAAAACACCACCATTCCTCCCATACCTTCCCCAACACCACCATTCCTCCCATACCTTCCCCAACACCACCATTCCTCCAACACCATTACCCCATACCTTCCCCAACACCACCATCCCTCCCATACCTTCCCCAAACCACCAACCCTCCAACACCATTACCCCATACCTTCCCCAACACCACCAATCCATCCCACACCTTCCCCAACACACACCATCCCTCCCCATACCCTTCCCCAACAACCACCATCCCTACCCATAACCTTCCCCAACACCCCCATCTACCCCATACCTTCCCCACACCCCCATCCTTCCCACACCCCATCCCCAACACCACCATCCCTCCCATACCTTCCAACACCACCATCCCTCCCATTACCTTCCCAACACCACCATCCCTCCATACCTTCCCCACACCACCATCCCTCCCATACCTTCCCCAACACACCATCCCTCCCATACCTTCCCCAACACCACCTCTCCTTCCATACCTTCCCCAACACCACCATCCCTCCCATACCTTCCCCAACACCACCATCCCTCCCATACCTTCCCCAACACCACCATCCCTCCATACCTTCCCCAACACCACCATCCCTCCCATACTTCCCCAACACCACCATCCTCCCATTCACCTCCCCAACTCCAACCACCTCCCATACCTTCCCCAACACCCCCATCCCTCCCATACCTTCCCCAACACCACAACACCCTCCATACCTTCCCCAACACCACATCCTCCCATACCTTCCCCAACACCACCATCCCTCCATACCTTCCCCAACACCACATCCTCCCATACTTCCCCAACAACACCATCCCTCCATACCTTCCCAACACCACCATCCCTCCCATACCTTCCCCAACACCACCATCCCTCCCATACCTTCCCCAACACCCCCATCCCTCCCATACCTTCCCAAACTCCACCATCCCTCCCATACCTTCCCCAACACCACCATCCCCCATACCTTCCCCACACCACCATCCCTCCCAACCTTCCCAACACACCAATCCCTCCCAATACCTTCCCCAACACCACATCCCTCCCATACCTTCCCCAACACCACCATCCCTCCCATACCTCCCAACACCACCATCCCCCATACCTTCCCCAACACCACCATCCCTCCCATACCTTCCCCACACACCACCATCCCTCCCATACCTTCCCCAACACCACCACCTCCCTCCCATACCTTCCCCACACCACCATCCCTCCATACCTTCCCCCACACCACCATCCCTCCCATACCTTCCCAACACCACCATCCCTCCCATACCTTCCCCAACACCACCACCCTCCCATACCTTCCCCACAACTCCACCATCCCTCCCATACCTTCCCCAACACCACCATCCCTCCATACCTTCCCCAACACCACCATCCCTCCATACCTTCCCCACACCACCATCCCTCCCATACCTTCCCCAACACCACCATCCCTCCCATACCTTCCCCACACCACCATCCCTCCCATACCTTCCCCACACCACCATCCCTCCATACCTTCCCCAACACCACCATCCTCCCATACCTTCCCAACACCACCATCCCTCCCAAACTCCTCCCAGCACCACCATCCCTCCCATACCTTCCCCAACACCACCATCCCCCCATACCTTCCCCAACACCACCATCCCTCCCATACCTTCCCCAACACCACTCCTCCCATACCTTCCCCCACACCACCATCCCTACCCATACCTTCCCCAACACCACCATCCCTCCCATACATTCCCCAGCACCACCATCCTCCCATACCTTCCCCAACACCACTCCCTCCCATACCTTCCCCAACACCACCATCCCTCCCTATACCTCCCACAACACCACCCCATCCCCCCATACCTTCCCCCAACACACCATCCCTCCTTACCTTCCCCAACACCCCATCCCTCCATACCTTCCCCAGCACCACCATCCCTCCCATACCTTCCCCAACACCACATCCCTCCCATACCTTCCCAACACCACCATCCCTCCCATACCTTCCCCAACACCACCATCCCTCCATACCTTCCCAACACCACCATCCCTCCCTACCTTCCCCAACACCACCATCCCTCCCATACCTTCCCCACACCACCATCCCTCCCATACCTTCCCACACCACCATCCCTCCATACCTTCCCCAACACCACCATCCCTCCCATACCTTCCCAACACCACCATCCCCCCATCCTTCCCAACACCACCATCCCTCCCATACCTTCCCCAACACCACCATCCCTCCCATACCTCCCCAGCACCACCATCCTCCCATACCTTCCCCAACACCACCATCCCTCCCATACCTTCCCACACCACCATCCTCCCATACCTTCCCCAACACCACCATCCCTCCCATACCTTCCCCAACACCACCATCCCTCCATACCTTCCCCAACACCACATCCTCCATACCTTCCCCAACACCACCATCCCTCCATACCTCCCAACACCACCATCCCTCCCATACCTCCCCAACACCACCATCCTCCCATACCTTCCCCAACACCACCATCCCTCCATACCTTCCCAGCACCACCATCCTCCCATACCTTCCCCAACACCACCATCCCTCCCATACCTCCCAACCCACCATCCCTCCCATACCTTCCCCAACACCACCATCCCTCCCATACCTTCCCAACACCACCATCCTCCATACCTTCCCCAACACCACCATCCCTCCATACCTTCCCCACACCACCATCCTCCATACCTTCCCCACCCACCATCCCTCCCATACCTTCCCCACACCACATCCCTCCATACTCCCCCACCACCATCCCTCCATACCTTCCCCAAACCACCATCCCTCCCATACCTTCCCCAACACCACCATCCCTCCCATACCTTCCCCAACACCACCATCCCTCCCATACCTTCCCCAACACCCACCATCCCTCCCATACCTTCCCCAACACCACCATCCCTCCCATACCTTCCCCAACACCACCATCCCTCCCATACCTTCCCCAACACCCACCATCCCTCCCAACCTTCCCCACAACCACCATCCCTCCCATACCTTCCCTAACACCACCATCCCTCCCATACCTTCCCAGCACCACCATCCCTTCCCATACCTTCCCCAACACCACCATCCCTCCCATACCTTCCCCAACACCACCATCCCTCCCATACCTTCCCCAGCACCACCATCCCTCCCATACCTTCCCAACACCACCATCCCTCCCATAACCTTCCCAGCACCACCATCCCTCCCATACCTTCCCCAACACCACCATCCCTCCCATACCTTCCCCAGCACCACCATCCCTCCCATACCTTCCCAACACCACCACCCCCTCCCATACCTTCCCCAGCACCACCATCCCTCCCATACCTTCCCCCAACACCACCATCCCTCCCATACCTTCCCCAACACCACCATCCCTCCCATACCTTCCCCAGCACCACCATCCCTCCCATACCTTCCCCAACACCACCATCCCTCCCATACCTTCCCCAACACCACCATCCCCCATAACCTTCCCCAGCACCACCATCCCTCCCATACCTTCCCTAACACCACCATCCCTCCCATACCTTCCCCAGCACCACCATCCCTCCCATACCTTCCCCAACACCACCATACCCTCCCATACCTTCCCCAACACCACCATCCCTCCCATACCTTCCCCAACACCACCAACCCTCCCATACCTTCCCCAAACACCACCATCCCTCCCATACCTTCCCCAACCCCACCATCCCTCCCATACCTTCCCCAACACCACCATCCCTCCCATACCTTCCCCAACACCACCATCCCTCCCATACCTTCCCCAACACCACCATCCCTCCCATACCTTCCCCAACACCACCATCCCTCCCATACCTTCCCCAACACCACCATCCCTCCATACCTTACCCCAGCACCACCATCCCTCCCATACCTTCCCCAACACCACCATCCCTCCCATACCTTCCCCAACACCACCATCCCTCCCATACCTTCCCCAACACCATCCACCACTACTTACCTGCATAAATATAAATTCCCACTTCCTACTAAACATTTTCTGTAATCTGGCCAGGTTTTCAGCCTCGTAATCCGCCAGTTCAAGCCTGGCTTTGTTCTGCATGGTTCTTTTGCACAGGTACACAGCTGTTGAAGAGAGAGAAAGGTCACAAAGGTACACGTTAGATCCATATAAAGGTCACAAAGGTACACGTTAGATCCATAGAAAGGTCACAAAGGTACACGTTAGATCCATAGAAAGGTCCCCAAAAAGGTAACACGTTAGATCCATAAAAGGTCACAAAGGTACACGTTAGATCCATAGAAAGGTCACAAAGGTACACGTTAGATCCATAGAAAGGTCACAAAGGTACACGTTAGATCCATAGAAAGGTCACAAAGGTACACGTTAGATCCATAGAAAGGTCACAAAGGTACACGTTAGATCCATAGAAAGGTCACAAAGGTACACGTTAGATCCATATAAAGGTCACACAGGTACACATTAGATCCATAGAAAGGTCACAAAGGTACACATTAGATCCATAGAAAGGTCACAAAGGTACACGTTAGATCCATATAAAGGTCACAAAGGTACACGTTAGATCCATATAAAGGTCACAAAGGTAGACGTTAGATCCATATAAAGGTCACAAAGGTACACATTAGATCCATAGAAAGGTCACAAAGGTACACGTTAGATCCATAGAAAGGTCACAAAGGTACACGTTAGATCCATAGAAAGGTCACAAAGGTATACGTTAGATCCATAGAAAGGTCACAAAGGTACACGTTAGATCCATATAAAGGTCACAAAGGTACACATTAGATCCATAGGTCACAAAGGTACACGTTAGATCCAGATCAAGGTCACACAGGTACACATTAGATCCATAGAAAGGTCACAAAGGTACACATTAGATCCATAGAAAGGTCACAAAGGCACACGTTAGATCCATAGAAAGGTCACAAAGGTACACGTTAGATCCATAGAAAGGTCACAAAGGTACACAGTAGATCCATAGAAAGGTCACAAAGGTACACGTTAGATCCATAGAAAGGTCACAAAGGTACACGTTAGATCCATAGAAAGGTCACAAAGGTACACGTTAGATCCACAGAAAGGTCACAAAGGTACACATTAGATCCATGGAAAGGTCACAAATTTACACGTTAGACCCACAAAAAGGTCACAAAGATACATCTTAGAGCCACACTTATGGATTAGAACAATCATAATGATACATCCACTTTATTAAAAGGTCAATTTAACATAATATTTCACTTTGGTGAGGGGCTTTTAACGACGTTTCGTTACGTTATAGACCATTATTTCGGTCCGAAATATTTCTTAAAGTTACCCCTTCAGAGGGTCCACTATTTGTTTATTGTTCCAGCCACGACACTGTGACTTTAATTCCCTTTAAGATAATGTTATATTGGACATGAAACACAATATGTACAAGCATTTCGCCTTATGTGGAGCAATATCACGTCACTTTTCGAGTCAAATTTAGCTGTGTAGTGTTTCAAGTCGTGTTTCGCTCTTTGTATATTGGGTTTAAGTCATGTTTGTCACTGGAGAGTTTTGTCAAGTAAGGTTTCACTCTATGTATATCAAGGAATGTTCGCCTCCCTGTGTAGGATTTTATCATGTTAATGTTAAAGTTAGCATGTCATGGGGTACGGGAGTTATTTCTTGGGTAGCTTTAGGTAGAGGTCGTTTTGATAAGGACCTGCCTCGTATGGGCCAGTAGGCCTTCTGCAGTGTTTCTACATTCTTATGTTCTTATGTTCTTATGCAGTTATTAAGGCCTGGTCACGGACCTGGCCGCGGGACCGTTGACCTGCAGAACCCTCTCCAGGTATCTCCAGGTATACTGTGGGACTTGACCTTCCAGGAGTGCATGACTTAATAAATCCTTCCACAGAGCGAAACATCACCTGATATAGTTTTACATAGGGTGAAACATAACTTGATAAAGCTCTACAGAGTGAAATGTGGCAGGATAAAGCTCTAGAGAGTGAAATGTGGCAGGATAAAGCTCTAGAGAGTGAAATGTGGCAGGATAAAGCTCTAGAGAGTGAAATGTGGCAGGATAAAGCTCTAGAGAGTGAAATGTGGCAGGATAAAGCTCTAGAGAGCGAAATGTGGCAGGATAAAGCTCGACACATGATATATGACGTGATATACGTCTGCACAGTGAAATGTGACATGGTAGAAATGGCCTGATAACGCTCTACAAGAGTGAAATATGATTTAAAAAAGCTCTATATAGAGTCATTGCTCCAAGGAAAGGTTGTTCTTCCTGTGTCATTCCCCACAACTGACCAATACACTCGTACAGAGAAAATTGTGAATTAGTACGTACCATAGTCAGAATTTTCAGGCTCCCAGCAGTTCGAAGGCCAGAAATATGGTGTCTGGAGGGACAGATTTGAGACATTATTGAAAATACTGAGAGGCCTATCTCATTTGACATTATTTGAGAAGCCATATCTTATTTGACATTGATTAAGAGGCCTAAGACTTTTAAGGTATTGAGAAACCTAACTCGTATAGCATTATTGAAAATACTGAGAGGCCTATCTCATTTGACATTGATTAAGAGGCCTAAGACTTTTAGGGTATTGAGAAACCTAACCTGTATAACATTATTGAAAATGCTGGGAGGCCTATCTCATTTGACATTATTTGAGAAGCCAGCTTCCTATAACATTATTTAGGGTTTTGATGGTATAAAAAATATTGAGAAGGCTAGTCTTGTAACCACTAAATTCAATGAACTTTTCAGCCCTTAAAATTAATTCAAAATGGATCTGTAAAGAATGATATAATTGGGTTTAAAGTTTATGGACCACTTAAGGCATTAGTCTATCGGCATACGACACTTATCAAGGCTACATAATTGGTTAATGAAGCTTAAAGTCTATCAGAATAAGATGGATGTTAAGGCTACATAAATATATTAGCCAGGATAGAGCCCTGACACGGGTCTTAGGACGACCCTCTCTAAAACTGAAATTTTTGTACTATCTACTAATGAAAGTCATCAAAATTTGTGGCAACTATGTACCTTATGGGAAAGTATTATCATTATGATGATTTTATTATTATTACTATTAGACAAGGAGTCATAAGAATGGAGAAAACTGCATAGGCCTACTGGCCCATACTAGGCAAGTCCAATTCCACTCATGTGCCTGTCTAACCTGTATACAAAGGTTCCCCAAGTTTTTACATCAATGACGCTAGCTGATAGTTCCGTTCATTTACAATTCTATTGCTGAGCTTCTCCAGTCATTGGCAAATTTATTTACAGTATTTCTCGATTTGTTCCCTCATCTATGTCGTTTATGTAGACTGCGAACAACCAAGGTCCCAACACTGACCCCTGTGGAACACCACTCTTAACAGGTCTCTATTTCGTTATCTCCCATCACTGCCGACTGATACCTATCATTCAGCCATGCCTCGACCCAGGAGATAATTTCTCCTCCTATTCCATGTACCACTAATGATCATGGACCGGGCCGAGGGGGCGCTGACCCTTGGAATACCCTCCAGGTATACTCGATATATTCCTCAGGATAACGTCCTGTATGGAAGTCCATATACATAATATATTCTGCAATAAGATCACAGTAAACAGGTGATTTCAGAATATGCAAAACAACCACTCTGAAAGAATAGAGAAATTCCAAGCGCTTTCGTGACTACTCACATTATCAAGGAACTATGAAAGTGAAGCATCCAAGGAAGGTATATAAGGGGTCTGGCCAACACCTCAGATCCGTTGTGGGATCTGATAGTGAGGTGTTGACCTTGCTCACAACAGGATTTGTTCGTTTGCAGTCAATTTTCCTCATTTAACCCTTTTACTTTCATTGTTCCTTGATAATGTGAGTACTCACGAAAGCGCTTGGAATTTCTCTATTCTTTCAGAGTGGTTGTTTTGCATAATATATTCTGTATCTTGATCTACCGCCGCCTCGAATACTTTGGTTGAAAAAGGTTTGTAAATTCGTAAGGTACGAATTGTAAAACCGTCCTGAGATTAGGTGACTAAATTAAATCTTTCGAGGTGACTTCCAATTGCATCAGTAATTACAGAGTCTGTCAACTTTCCCATAACCGAGGTTGGGCTAATTCTTCTATAATTCGAAACTAAGGATATCACCTAATATAGTTTAAGTATGTCACTGTACGTTACCTAATACTGTCACAGCTAAACGGGTTGTTAAACAGACCTGTAACCAGGACCTGTCAAGTATGGCCCGGTAAGCCTGCTGCAGTGAACCTACTTTCCTATGTCCTTATACAGCAACGGGAGAACATTAGCACTACGTTTCACTTACTTAAAAAAGCCTCATCTAGGCGAAACGTCGCAATAATAAAACTCTATTGCTGTATGTATCTCTTTGTAACCCTTGTACTAAGAACCTCGTCTCCTCACCTGGAATCTGTAGAAGGTGGAGTCGTTCTTGACGGTGAGGACGTGGTCGTCAATGGGAAAGAAATAGCCATGAGCCGACACCAAGTGAGCCAGATGTAACGCCTCCACTGTAGGACAAACACTCTCTTAAAAACTCATCCAACTTAATAATAAAAATAATATTAATATATGCGTGAGGTAATGGGAAGAATGACAGAGGGTAAAGCAGCTGGGACATATGGGATTATGACACCTGCTGTCTAGTGTTCACCCATCAGTAAACTGGGTACCTGGGTGTTAGTGGACTGGTGTGGGTGGCATCCTGGGTGTTAGTGGACTTATGTGGGTGGCATCCTGGGTGTTAGTGGACTGGTGTGGGTAACATCCTGGGTGTTAGTGGACTGGTGTGGGTGGCATCCTGGGTGTTAGTGGACTGGTGTGGGTCGCATCCTGGGTGTTAGTGGACTGGTGTGGGTCGCAATCTGGGTGTTAGTGGACTGGTGTGGGTCACATCCTGGATGTTAATGGACTGGTGTGGTCGCATCCTGGGTGTTAGTGGACTGGTGTGGGTCAAATCCTAGGTGTTAGTGGACTGGTGTGGGTCACATCCTGGGTGTTAATGGACTGGTGTGGTCGCATCCTGGGTGTTAGTGGACTGGTGTGGGTGGCATCCTGGGTGTTAGTGGACTGGTGTTTACCTGGAGTTTACCTGGAGAAAGTTCCGGGGGTCAACGCCCCCGCAGCCCGGTCTGTGACCAGGCCTCCTGGTGTGGGTGGCATCCTGGGACAAAACTGACCTAATTTGCGGGAAATGCTCAGCATAACAAGGGACTTTCTATATAGTAGTATGTCATTGATGTCAGCTATGATCTGTATACCTTGTACATGTACTTGTATACCTTGTACATGTACTTGTATACCTTGTACATGTACTTGTATACCTTGTACATGTACTTGTATACCTTGTACATGTACTTGTATACCTTGTACATGTACTTGTATACCTTGTACATGTACTTGTATACCTTGTACATGTACTGGTATACCTTGTACATGTACTTGTATACCTTGTACATGTACTGGTAGTAATTACCTGGAGTTTACCTGGAGAGAGTTTCGGGGGTCAACGCCCCCGCGGCCCGGTCTGTGACCAGGCCCCCTGGTGGATCAGCGCCTGATCAACCAGGCTGTTGCTGCTGGCTGCACGCAAACCAACGTACGAGCCACAGCCCGGCTGATCAGGAACTGACTTTAGGTGCTTGTCCAGTGCCAGCTTGAAGACTGCCAGGGGTCTGTTGGTAATCCCCCTTATGTGTGCTGGGAGGCAGTTGAACAGTCTCGGACCCCTGACACTTATTGTATGGTCTCTTAACGTGCTAGTGACACCCCTGCTTTTCATTGGGGGGATGGTGCATCGTCTGCCAAGTGGAACAGAGCTTTTCACCGTAGCTGCCTCGGACTTTACTCTGTTGACGACTACTCTCTGTGTTCTGTTAGTGAGGAAATTATAGATCCATCGACCGACTTTTCCTGTTATTCCTTTAGCACGCATTTTGTGCGCTATTACGCCATGGTCACACTTGTCGAAGGCTTTTGCAAAGTCTGTATATATTACATCTGCATTCTTTTTGTCTTCTAGTGCATTTAGGACCTTGTCGTAGTGATCCAATAGTTGAGACAGACAGGAGCGACCTGTTCTAAACCCATGTTGCCCTGGGTTGTGTAACTGATGGGTTTCTAGATGGGTGGTGATCTTGCTTTTAGGACCCTTTCAAAGATTTTTATTGATATGGGATGTTAGTGCTATTGGTCTGTAGTTCTTTGCTGTTGCTTTACTGCCCCCTTTGTGGAGTGGGGCTATATCTGTTGTTTTTAGTAATGAGGGACGACCCCGTGTCCATGCTCCCTCTCCATAGGATGAAAAGGCTCGTGATAGGGGCTTCTTGGAGTTCTTGATGAACACAGAGTTCCATGAGTCTGGCCCTGGGGGCAGAGTGCATGGGCATGTCATTTATCGCCTGTTCGAAGTCATTTGGCGTCAGGATAACATCGGATAGGCTTGTGTTTATCAAATTTTGTGGCTCTCTCATAAAAAATTCATTTTGATCTTCGACTCTCAGTCTGGTTAGCGGCTTGCTAAAAACGAGTCATATTGGACTTGAGTAGCTCACTCATTTCCTTGCTGTCATCTGTGTAGGACCCATCTTGTTTAAGTAGGGGCCCAATACTGGACGTTTTTTCTCGATTTTGATTTTGGGATAGGAGAAGAAATAAATTTGGGTTTCTTCGATTTCATTATGGCTTTTAGTTCTTCCCCCGATTCCTGACTCCTAAAGGATTCTTTTAGCTTAAGTTCGATGCTTGCTATTTCTCTGACCAGTGTCTCCCTACGCATTTCAGATATATTGACCTCTTTTGAGCCGCTATGTTATTCTTTTTCCGTCGCCTGTAAAGTGAGCTCGCTTGTCCTCTATTCTATTTTTACATCTACCCTCCTTTTTCTTTAGAGGAATAAGCCTTGTGCATACATCGAGTGCCCACCAAGTTAATCTGTTCTATGGCCATAAGTAGGGGTCCTGTGTTGCCTTAGTAAATCTTCCCAGCTTGTATCGGTGAGACTTGGTTTACTTGGTCCCACTTTTATGTTTTTGTTATAAGTTGAATTTGGTGAATGCTCCCTCAATGACTAGTCTCATTTTGTCGGTCTGGGGCTTCCACGCATACATGTCCTGAACCTCAATAAAATTGTGATCTGAGTATATTGTTTTTGTATATGGTGACCTTTCTTATCAGATCATCATGTTTAGTGAAGATGAGGTCTAGTGTATTCTCCAGTCTAGTAGGTCTCTATTATTTTGCTGGTTTAATTGAATTTTGTGCAGAGATTTAAAAGCCTCGTGTGAGTGGTGAGATTTCATCAGAGCTGCATCCTGGGTTTATACGCAAAACAAATTATTTTGCAATATTCCTCCATTTTAGTGCCTTAAAAGTTGAAATCCCCCAGGAGCAAGACGTTGGGTGCAGGCTGGAAGGTTTCCAGAACAGTGGCCAATTTTTTTAACAACTGTTCCTGGCAATTGCTGGGATGTTGCATCCGAGGTCTTGTAGACTACACAATGACCTAGGCATGGTTCTCCGACCCTTTACTCTGCTAAAACACCACTACAATCATTTGAGCATTAAGCTGTTCTGTGGCAAACAAGTGACTCTGCAATGTACAGGCCAACTCCCCCCCCCCCTTTTGCCTGTCACGTCTGTCACAGCTGTAATATGGTTGTTACCAGGATCCCATATTTCGTTGTCCAAGAGATCCTTTATGTAGATCCTCAGTGAAAGCGCAACATTGCCTTGCCTCTGCCAAGCAGTCCACTATGAATGTATTCTGTGTATTTGTTTGCGGCTTTAGACCCTGTTATATTTGCAAAGAAGAATGTTATCGACTGGTGTATGTTGGTTACTGGGGGGGATTTTTTTTTCGGCATTTAGTATCTGTTATCTGTTTTGTTTGGAGTGGAGGCCATCGACTGTGGTTCCACTCCAGGAATGGGACTGGATTTGGTGTACGATTTCTGCCATATCCTCCAGTTTTTTTTTCCTTCCTGGCACAAAAAAAAAAAAAAACCTCTCCCTCTTGAGTGGCTTGGCTACCCAGGGTTTTCCTGGGCCTGAATGTTTTGTAATCTTTTTGCCCACCTTTAGGTTGTATGCCCTGGCAATTTAAGTTATAGCACAATCTTTCTGTAGTGAAGAGGTACACATTTCAGGGTGTAAAAAGCTTACAGGAAGGGAGTTTTGCATTTTCTGTTGTCATATGGGCATCGCATTTTCCCTAGGGTGGTCATAGTTGCAATGTCCCATCTGTTTTATCCAGATTTTCCCATCCAGTCAGTATACCAAGTGCATAGTAAATGTGCACAGGCTTGGTTTCCGCTTGCCTGGGTTTCAGTGACTGTAATTCCCTGTGTTGTGCATGATTCCCTGTCTTACTCTACTCCATCCCAATCACCAAAATGGAGCTCCCAACCAGTTGTTTTTGAAATTTATCCTCACTATTGCTATTGGAGTCCTCTATGTTTGCTATTTCCTGCGGTATTTCTAGTTTGCAATATTGGTTTTATCTTATACTTTACTACACTTGTTTCCCTACTATGGCTCCTGCCCCTATGAGGCATTTAATATGTATGTCCCTTCCCTGCGTATATTTCCCACTACTGGACAAAATCTCCAGCTTCACCATTACTGTCTCCCAGGACAGCATCTCCAGCTTCACAATTATACTGTCTCCCATGACAGCACCTCCAGCTTCACCATTACTGTCCCCCAGGACAGTCATCTTCCAGCTTCACCATTACTGTCTTCCCAGGACGCACTCAGCTTCACCATTACTGTCTCCCAGGACCGCATCTCTTGTTCACCATTACTGTCTCCCAGGACAGCATCTCCAGCTTCAACCATTACTGTCTCCCGAGGACAGTATCCTCCAGCTTCACCAGTTACTCTGTCCACCAGGACAGCATCTCCAGCTTCACCATTACGGTCTCCCAGACAGTATCTCCAGCTTCAACCATACTGTCTCCCTGCGTCCCCAGGACAGTATCTCCAGCTTCACACCATTATATACTGTCTCCCAGGACAGCACCTCCAGCTTTCACCATTACTGTCTCCCAGGACAGCACCTCAGCTTCACATTACTGTCTCCCAGGACAGCGACCTCCAGCTTCACCATTACTGTCTCCCAGGACAGCACCTCCCTCCAGCTTCAACCATTACTGTCTCCTCAGGACAGCACCTCCAGCTTCACCATTACTGTGCTCCCAGGACAGTATCCCAGCTCACCATTACTGTCTCCCATGACAGTATCTCCAGTTCACCATTAACTGTCTCCCAGGACAGCACCTCCAGCTTCACCATTACTGAGTCTCCAGGACAGCACCTCCCGCTTCCACCATTACTGTCCTCCCAGGACAGCATCTCCAGCTTCACCATACTGTCTCCCAGGACAGCATCTCCAGCTTCAACCATTACTGTCTCCCAGGACAGCACCTCCAGCTTCACACCATTATACTGTCTCCCAGGACAGCACTCCAGCTTCACCATACTGTCTCCCAGTCAGTAAACCTAAGCTTCC